AAAAGGTGGTAGGATCAATAAATTGCAAGTTGTCCTGGGGTTGAGGGGTTGTAGGAGTCTAGGGAAAAGAGAGAATGATCTGGAAATATAGGAGGTATATAAGAGTCTGAGGCTGGGCATAATGTCTCGTGTCTGTAAATCCAGTACTTTGGGAGGCTGGAACGGGAGGATCATTTGAGGCCGGGAGCGCAAGACCAGCCTGAGCAACATAGCAAGACCCTATTTCTACAGAAAATTTAAATATTAGTCAAGCATGGTGGTGTGCACCTGTAGTCCCAAGCATGGTGATGTGCACCTGTGCACTCCGGGGGCTGAAGTGGGAGGATCCCTTGAGACCAGGAGGTGGCGGTTGCAGCAAGCCATGATCGTACCATATATTCTAACCTGGGCAACGGAGTGAGACACTGTCTCTAAATATATATCTATATTGCAAGTCTGACTCCATTTTTTATATGTACTGACAGCTTTGAAGCCCTGCCAGTCCTGTTTCCCCAGTGCAAACATAAGAAAGCCTAGATGCCTTTGATGCCAGCAGGAAGTACAAACCGTGCAAGACCCAGCCCATATGAGAGAGCCCTCACTGTGGTCCTACCCCTTAACCACCATGACATCCTAAGATAGTCTCCTTTCTTTGCTCCCTTAAGCCATTTTTGAACCAGTTTGGGAGCCTGCCCTGCTCTCCCCAGAAAGCTGCAGTATGTGAACAAACCTTTTCACACCCTCTTGGTGCATGTGTAGCATCATCAGTCTCAACATCCAAATTAAATTTTAGGTGCAGGAGCCCATCTGGCTTCTTCTGCAGGGTGACCACAACAATGTGGTAATTTTAGTGGGATCCATGAAATTGAGACTATGGAGGAATGATGAAACCTAGGGTGGGATATGCGACCATGGCAGTGAATGGCTAAGGGATGTGGAGGCAGGATCATTGGAAGAGAGTCAAGGACAGACTGTCATACAGATTATATGCATGTGTATTAAAAACAGTAAGACTTAGGACAAGGGAGGTGCTGGGGAAGATGTCAGTAGCAAAAGCTAAAGTCCTTGATAAATAAGACAGTGACTGTGAGTGAGTAGGTGAGGAATGGGGAAGGTGAGTGACAACATCAGAGGACATGAGTTTTAAAAAAGATAATGGGCAGGGGCAGGAATTAGGAGGGAGGAAGAATAGCTTAAAAAAGAAGCAAGGAAGAGCCCTCTCCTCCCTCCCACTCCAGTGGTATGAGGGCGCTGGGAAGGCTGCAGGGACAATAGCATCCACAGGAATCAGCCAGCTTGGCGTTAGGACAAGAAGGTGCAGGAGATACTTAAAGAAGCAGTTGAGGATATAGAGGATTTTGCTGATGATAGACAGAGGGCACAGTGGGACTTCTCAAGAAACTGGGGTGTCTTGAGAAGAGTTCAGAATAGTTGATGTGAAGAGCCTTGAGAGGGTCAGGTGGAAGGTGAGGGAGGCCTGGTGGTCTGGGGTTTCTCATGGTAAAGGATATAAACAAGGATAACAAGGACAAAATGTGAACCAAATGAGAAGAAATGGTTATTCGGGTTTCCTTTTAGAATCACCCAAGACTAAATGAAATTAATGTTTTATTTGAATGGAGAAAAGTAGTTTAGAAGATTTTCATTTCAGACTTGAGTTGCTTCCCTTGTCTTCACATGCCCCAAGACCCTGGCCCTCCAGGGCCCATGCTGAGGACCTTGCACCCAGGTGGGTACAGTGAGCTCTTGTATCACTGGACTTGCAGTTTGGCTATAAATCCACTTGGATGAGTCCCAAGATGGATCCAAGCAGGTTGGCCTTGGCAAATTTAGGCAAGATCCTTTCTGCCTCTGGTCTGATGTTCTCCTGAACTCTCACTGCAGAGGCCTGGCCATCCTTTATGTCATATACTGGACCTACTTTACAAACATCCAAATGTACTTGTGCTAGTGCCTGTTCTTATGGCCCTTAAAAATTTCATTTTTTCTAAGTAAAACCTAGCTAATCCAAAACTAATTCATATGGTTGTGTTCAGAGGTGCTAATTTGTGGCCTCTTAGTCATTGTCACATGTAATGTAACGTTGGCCTTCCAGAGACAAAGAAATTACTCCAGTGGGTTCCAATACAGGAAAATCAAGATCAGTGGACTTTCAACTTTCTTGTTTGCACATTCTCAAAAGAATTTTGAAAAATATATGAATTCTCTGATGTTTTATATCAACATCCAAAATTTTTATCATAAAATTAAACAATTGTAAAGAAAGTAATTTTCAGTTTTGTGTTGTAAATATTGGCATTAAAAAAAAAAACAAAAAACTGTGGCTGGGCGCGGTGGCTCACGCCTGTAATCCCAGCACTTTGGGAGGCCAAGGCAGGTGGATCACGAGGTCAGGAGTTCAAGACCAGCCTGGTCAAGATGGTGAAACCCCCATCTCTACTAAAAAGCAAAAAACTTAACCAAGTGTGGTGGCAGGTGCCTGTAATCCCAGCTACTCGGGAGGCTGAGGCAGAAAATTGCTTGAACTTGGGAGGTGGAGGTTGCAGTGAACCGAAATCACACCACTGCACTCCAGCCTGGATGACAGAGCGAGACTCCATCTAAAAAAACAAAACAAACAAACAAACAAAAACCCAAAAACTTGTCATACAACTCTTAAGTGTATCCAGTGGAATATATATAAATACCTTGATACCTTAGTATCATGTACCTTGATACCATTTAAAGAGTATCATCCTTTAAGTTATAAGATTATTTATTTAGCTATCAGAAATATAACATTGTTCCCTTTTCTTCTTCTTGAACTTTTATAATTCTTCTTCCCTCATACAATGTTATAGTTTTTTATTTTTATGCTAATTTATTTATTTATTTTTTTAATCTTGCTCTGTCACCTAGGCTGGAGTGCTGTGGCATGATCATAGCTCACCATAATCTAGAACTCCTGGGCTCAAGGAATCCTCCCATCTGAGCCTCCTTAGTACCTAGGACTTACAGATACATGGCACGATGCCCAGTCTCTATTTTTCAACCTATCCTACTTCTCCGTATAATAGGTAATTTTTAAAATGTGATTTTAATGTTTTTTATTTTTATTTTAAAATTTATTGTAATTTTTGAATATGTAATATTTTCATTTGGTTCAAAAATAAAAACTAAATTAAAAGTATTCATTGAGGAATTTTACTCTCCCTTGTCCAACCCCCCATAGGTAATCACTTGTTTTAGTTTTAAATTTATCCTTCCAGTGCCAATTTTTTACATAAATAAAAGCAAATTTGAATATATATTTTTAAAATTGAATATATATTTGTTTCATTTCCCCTTTCTTACCTAAAAAAAGTTACTTTATTACATTTTTTTAAAACTGCAGAATGGAAACCTATTAATTAGACTAATGAAAATGTACTAATTAGACCAACATCAAATCACACTCCTGATAAGAATCTTTTCCCTTCTCTTTTGCTTTGACAGTAAGGTTAGATCACAGAATTCAACTGACATTCTTCAAGGACATTTTGGAAACCTGTGGTGTTTTCAGTGCTTTAAATTCAATACCAATGAGAACACAGGTTGCTAATGTCAGCCCTGGGCAGATTGTATTTTGTTTCTTCCAATATTTACAAACTGGGACATTTTACATAAACATCTAGATTTCTGGCTCTTTTGAAAATTAGATCAGCTAACCAAGCCTCTCACACACACCAACGGTGGGCTGGTGTGACCTCTGTGTGGCACTTGTCCTGCGGTCTGCTATAGACCCTCTCACTTCCTAGTTTTCTTGCTTCAGCCCTCAGCATTTATTTATCTTTCCCATCTGGTCCCTGTAGGCATTTGACTTAGCCACCTCTGAGTTAAAATCATAGCAGTGACTTGGGAAAGTACACTTAAAGAGGAGCTTCTTTGAAGCTTCAGAATGGGAAGCAAGAAAGGAGCAAATGAAGAGAATAGAGAAAGATTAGGCTCTGGATTAATGATTCCATGTTTTGCCTGAAATTCCTCAGATAACAGGACAAGTGAATTCTTTCCATATACTGTGTAGTCTATATTCACCTTCTCAGGCCACTAGATGATGCAGGGTATTGGTAAGCCAGGGTGGTGACTGAATTTGCACCCCAGGAAAAATGAAATCTGTTGCGATTGAATCATGAGAACATAGACTGAAATGAGAGACAGAGCTCTTTTTTATCTTCTATGAAAAGGCACATTGGACATTGGAATTTAAAAATGCAGTGGTTCCCTAGTTTTCTATTAGCACTACCACCAAATATTAAGAATCTGTTGTGTCTAAAATTTTATAAAATGCTGTTCAGAGTATGGAACACAAGAAACTTATAAAGTAGGACAGGTATTTTATGTATCTGCTTTTAATATAGAATACAGTGCTTTAAAAAAAGAAGAATGATAAGAATTTGAAGGGAAATTACAATTTATTGTTACTTCCTTAACACCTGGCCTACAGAAGGTAATCCATAAACATTTCTTAAGAGAATAAAAGAATGAATGAATAAATAAGGCTTCCAAGAAGATAAGATGTATAATAATAAAATAGGTTTTAAAAAGGTTTTTACCTGAAAAGCAGCATTCAAAATCTGAAACAGTCATGAATGACAATCTTTATTTTGTTCTTTATTCTTATCAGTACATTCCCTGAAGAAGTGCTGGGGGTTTTTGGAATAGTTCTTCAAGAAAATGAAACACCTATAAGAATTTGGTGCTAAGATTTTGTCTGACTTAAGGCATAACACTTTTAATTCTGGATCTTGAAATTCCTCCTAATGAAAATGTTGCACTAAAAGACTTATATTGATAATTCACAGTGACTGCAGCAATAATGTCAGAAATGAACATCACATGAGACCTATCACATAGAAGTTACTTAAGGATTCACCTTATTGTGGTGGGTTATAGACCTCAGGAGGACATGAACTTGTCCTGAGACCATCTGATGACATTTTCAGTCTCTGGCAATAGTCTCTGGGATTTTGTGTAAACTGTCAATGTCATAATATACAGATTTTTAAAATATGGAATGCTTCACAAATTTGCCTGTCATCGTTGTGCAGAAGCCATGATAGTCTTCCCTATATGGTTCCATTTTTAGTGTATGAGCTGTCAAAGCGAGCATGACAATGTCATAATATTAAAATAGTATTTCACAATAGGGTTTCCCTACTCTCTTAATTTTGTGTATAAGAATATGCCATGTTCTCTGGTGGCACTACAAGAGCACTGTTCACCGGGCGATTTGTAGTGCGTTCTTCCTTCTGATGACTAACCCTAAACCCTTTCCAATTCTCTCGAGCACAAGAATAACCATCCAAGTCCAGGAAACATTTGATTCTCTCAGATGACAGTAAAGATCTTAGAGAACCCAGATGTTTCCTTGCTGATCACCCCCAGTAAAATCCAGTTAGAACCAACAAATTCAGAAAATGTAATAAGGACTCCAGACTTCTTGTGGAGTATATTCTTCATCTTTTCCTGAGTTTTTTCCTGTTTTTCAATGTTTCTTTTTTGCATTATAGTGGTTAGGAGCTCTACAAGAACCACTGAAAACAGATAGGCTCTCTGTTTAGTTCTGCCACTTTTTAGCTATATGACCTTGGGCCAGCTGTTTAAAATCTCCATGTCTCAGTTTCATCTTCAGCAACAGGAGGATTAAATGGGGTTCTGTGTTATAAAGTGCTCAGCATGATGCTTAGCACAGAGTAGGCACTGGACTCATGTAGAAGTCTGAAAAAGATGTCTAAAATGTCCTGCTATAAGGCTGTGTATGATTACTTTTTTTTTTTTTTTTTTTTTTTGAGACAGAGTCTTGCTCTGTTGCCCAGGCTAGGATGCAAGGGCTCTATCTCGGCTCACTGCAACCTCTGCCTCCTGGGTTCAAGCAGTTCTCACATCTCAGACTCCTGAGTAGCTGGGATTACAAGGCACCCACCACCATGCCTGGCTAATTTTTTTGTACTTTTAGTAGAGACAAGGTTTCACTATGCTGGCCAGGCTGGTCTCAAACTCCTCACCTCAGGTGATCTGCTCTCCTCTGCCTCCCAAAGTGCTGGGATTACAGGTATGAACCACCACGCCCAGCCTGATTACTCTTGTTGTTGAACAAATCAAGGGAGCGCCAGCATCTTCAACAAACCTTCCCAAAAAGTTTTAGGTAAAAATTTATTTATTTATTTATTTATTTATTTATTTATTTATTTATTTATTTTTTGAGACAGAGTCTCACTTAGTCGCCCAGGCTGGAGTGCAGTGGCGCGATCTCGGCTCACTGCAAGCTCCGCCTCCCGGGTTCACGCCATTCTCCTGCCTCAGCCTCCCGAGTAGCTGGGACTACAGGCGCCCGCCGCCTTGCCCGGCTAATTTTTTGCATTTTTAGTAGAGACGGGGTTTCACAGTGTTAGCCAGGATGGTCTCGATCTCCTGACCTTGTGATCCGCCCGCCTCGGCCTCCCAAAGTGCTGGGATTACAGGCGTGAGCCACCGCGCCCGGCCAAAAATTTATTTTTGAGTTATAGGGAAATGGGCTTTCCACACAAATTAATTTTCTCAGTAAACAAAACTAGTCCCTTTAAGGCACCAACTCTTGTAAAACTGTTGACCGTTGTTACATTAATAGAGATCTTTTTGAACTGTGACACCCATGTCTCTGTTTTATGAAACACTGTAATGAATATAATCTAACTATTTCTTGATGCTGTAGGATTATACAATACAGAATCACATATCTGACATCTCGGAGTGGGCCAAGTATGGCCTGCTAATACCAGAGAGGAGAAGAGAACCAGCATTGAACATGTCCGCTGGGATGGACTGGAACTTGGTGATGCTGAGGGCCAACAAGTGTTCAAAATAGTTCCAGGTATCAGGCTATAGTTCGTGAAAGCAGTTGTCAGTGTTGGATTAGGCAGCAGCTGGATAGAATCAAGTTGACACAGAATCAAGTAGTTCAGAGGGAGAGACTCTGAAATTCAGGCCAGCAGGTTGGAGGTGGTAACTGGGAAGTCTGTTGAAAGACTGCCAGGGTCTATAACCACCACCTGTATGAAGGCAAAATTTAATTTCCAGTTGCCTGCACAGCACAGTTATCTCTAGTTTTAAGAATAAGGACTCACAGGAAGAGCCCAAGGTCACAGCATGTGTGGCTAGAGTTGGTTAAAAATCTTTCTCAGGTGGGAAAAGGTTGGGTAACTTGCCCAAGGTCATGCTGTGAAGGTGCACACCCAGAATTCTATTACAGGCAAACTCCGTATCCGTTTCTGCTACTTAGCTCTACTCACTTTAAAATAAAACAAATGGGGCCAGGCGCGGTGGCTCAAGCCTGTAATCCCAGCACTTTGGGAGGCGGAGACGGGAGGATCACGAGGTCAGGAGATCGAGACCATCCTAGCTAACACAGTGAAACCCCGTCTCTACTAAAAAATACAAAAAACTAGCCGGGCGAGGTGGCGGGCGCCTGTAGTCCCAGCTACTCGGGAGGCTGAGGCAGGAGAATGGCGTAAACCCGGGAGGCAGAGCTTGCAGTGAGCTGAGATCCGGCCACTGCACTCCAGCCCGGGCGACAGAGCGAGACTCCGTCTCAAAAAAAAAAAATAAATAAAATAAAATAAAATAAAACAAATGTTTCACTATTCTGGCAGACATAGAAATGACTGGATTTGTTTTTCTGATTCTAAGGAAAATTACAGCTATACAACTCTAGAGTCACATAATTCATCATTTTTGAAGGGACAAGAGTGAGTTACATATTTATCTATAAGACAAACATGTTGTTGTTATAGAACGGATTACTATAGGGGTACCTTAAGAATTATCTGTCTTAAATTCCTACAACCTAAAATTAAACCTTTCAAAAGGAGCCAGTGAATCGCTATGAAAATAGCACAGTTCAATTAGATTTAAATTAAACATTGGTTTCAAATTTGGGATACTAAAAATAAGTTATTATAACTGAATTTTAAATTATTTTACCCATTAAAAGATCTAAATTCATATATTCAAAATTTGATAATGAGCTAAAAACATTTAGTTCAAAGGAGCTACATTTTCATGATATGAAAAACAGAACTTTTGTTCTTCCTCATCCTCTGACTCTCAAAAAAAAAAAAAAAAACCCAGAATATTATTAAGAAGGAATGATCAGGCCAGGCGTGGTAGCTCACGCCTGTAATCCCAGCACTTTGGAAGGTCAGTGAGGGTGGATCATGAGGTCAGGAGTTCAAGACCAGTCTAGCCAAGATGGTGAAGCCCCGTCTCCACTAAAAATACAAAAAAATTAGCCAGGCACAGTGGCAGGTGCCTGTAATCCCAGCTACTCGGGAGGCTGAGGCAGGAGAATCGCTCGAACCCTGGACAGCAGAGGTTGCAATGAGCCGAGATCTCACCACTGCATTCCAGCCTGGGTGACAGAGTGAGACGCTGTCCCAAAAAAAAAAAAAAGTAGTGATCTATCAGGGTTCTTGTTTTAAATTATTCTTAGAAGATTACTATTTTGTTACTTAAATTACCAACAATAAAAGGATTTCTATTTGAATTCAGGTATTTTTCACTTTATATTCTCCATTATTGCCTTCCTGAGATTCAGTTGTAAAGAAGACTAAACTTGCCTCCACTCTAATCCTGCATTTCCTCTTTCCAAAAAGGCATTTCCTCTTGATTACTCCACTTCATGCTCTAAATATGTGTCAGTTCTGGGACTGTGAACAATGATTGTGTTTTGCAAAAACAGGTTTAAAAATATCGAATAGGTGAAGGAAGCTGCAAGTAGAGTCTTGGCCAGGCAGTGGGCCAGCAAGATGGAAAAACAGGAGTCGAGAAGGACCCAAGAACCAAAGGACAAATTAGTGACCTAGAAGCCAGAGGCAGGCAGAATTTAGAGTATGCCAGAAACTAGGCATGCAGATAGCAACAAAAGAGATCAGAAACCCCAAAGGAGAATGCTTTAGAAGACCAGGCATGCCAAAAGTCAGGCAGGGTTAGAAACCCAGTGAGTAAAAGGGGTGGTCAGGAGGTAAGAGCACAGTCTCAGCAAGAGGTAGGGGCAGCAAAAGTCAAGCACCCAAGCAAAGAAGCCTCCAATGAGACCTTGATTCTCAGGCCAGTGTCCTGCCTGGGACTGTCAGAAGAAGTAGAAAAAGACACCTAGTTGCCCAGGGAATAGGGACTTGGACCGACCAGAGCAGGTCTTTCCTTTTCCTGCTGTTAACAAATGATTTGGCTCCATGACTAGATAGTTGGCGAATTTTCTTCACTTTTGGATGCTTTTATCCTGACGCTCTCTGCTGCTCTCTTCCTAGGTAATGTAGAGTTCTTAATCGGTACCCACAGATGCTGTACTGATTCAACTTGGCAAGAGACTTAGAGCGTCTCAGGACAAGTTGGAAACTGAAAATAGATTCTGCCCGTTGACTCAGCAGGATTGGGGGGTTGCCTCTTAATAATCACACACCAAGTTAGAACTTGTCATGTCTAAGATGTCCTATTCCATTCCAGTGTGGTCTCATTTTGTTCCAAAGGTGGTTTTCTTTTTTAAAAACAGAAGTATTGACAGCTGGTCCCATGTTATATTTTTCCTCTTTATAGACTCTAACAAAGTTCTACAGATAGAAAAGTCTGGTGACATTTCCCTTCCCTTTATAAAGTATGGATTTCACAGAACCCACTCCCTGTCAAGGCCATCTGGGGAAGTAGAATCTTTTATCTCTCTAGGCGAAAGGGTTTATCTGTTTTACTTCCTTCTTTTAAGCTGAGGACCTTCTGAGGTAGTTTCTTTAATAAGTAAATTACTTTCTTCCCTTGTCTTACCTGACTGTGTTGATAGCAGAAGTGAGGGCATTTCCTTAGAAGATAAGATTTCTTTTTTTTTTTTTTGAGACGAGTCTCGCTCTGTCACCCAGGCTGGAGTGCAGTGGCCGGATCTCAGCTCACTGCAAGCTCCGCCTCCTGGGTTTACGCCATTCTCCTGCCTCAGCCTCCCGAGTAGCTGGGACTATAGGCGCCCGCCACCTCGCCCGGCTAGTTTTTTTGTATTTTTTAGTAGAGACAGGGTTTCACCGTATTAGCCAGGATGGTCTCGATCTCCTGACCTCGTGATCCGCCCGTCTCGGCCTCCCAAAGTGCTGG